GTGTGTGTGTGTGTTTGTGTTTGTATGTACCTGTGTACGCTTATGTGCGAGGGCGTTTGCGTGTCTGTGTGAACGTTTTTCTGTCTCTGTATGTTATCTGCGTATGTGTGCGTGTGTGTGGCGATCTCCCGTGTGTGTTTATGTGTGTGTGCGTGTGTGTGAGTGTATGTGTGTATGTGTGTGTGTGTGAGAGAGAGGGAGCGTGCGCTCGTGTGTGTGTGTGTGTCTATGTGTTTGTGTGTGTGTGTGCACAGCTAAACATTCATGTAAACAACTCACCTGGGCTCTGGCACATCGTTTGTCTATTCCGATCTGGTCCTCATCAAACACAACAGTTGTCAAGCACAAGGGCTGTGGAACGGAATGTAGGTACATATGTATTAATTATCGTTGTTTTTTTCCTGAAGTGGAAATCAATGTCTATCTATCTATCTATCTATCTATCTATCTATCTATCTATCTATCTATCTATCTATCATCTATCTATCTATCTATCTATCATCTATCTATCTATCTATCTATCTATTTTGAATGCTAAATAGGTTATTCTTCTCAAAAGTTTACAAGGAGACAAGCATGTTTATCTTATTCAACCTCATATGACTTCCCTTATTTTAACCACGGGATAAAATGTACCGTAAAATTTTGGCAATTAAGAAATAATATTCTATATAAATTTGTTAACTTAAAGTGAGTTGTTTAACAACTTTTGAAAACGGAGTAGTTTTGTAAGATGGTGTAAGCAGTGAATGAATGTATTATGTGAACTCACATGTTCTTTGTCACACAGCTGTGTGCCGTTGCAGCCATTGTTGTCAATGGCATCTACACAAGTGTGGCAGTAGTTTTCTGTGACCAAAGAGAACAGCATATTATATATATAATATATATATATATATATATATATATATATATATATAGATAGATAGATAGATAGATAGATAGATAGATAGATAGATAGATAGATAGATAGATAGATAGATAGATAGGTAACAAGAACAAATGTTCAGAATTTCTAACACTATAAAAGGTTTCCTTGTATTTTTTTTTCACAGTAAACCATTTATTAATTCTTTCTTTATTACTTCGTTATTCCTCTGTCGCTTTCTCGTTCTAACCCCCCCCCCCCCCCCTTGTCTCTTTCTCTATACACCTCTCTCATTCCCTCTTATTCCTCCCCCTTTCTCTCTCTCTCACTCTCTCTCTCTCTCTCTCTCTCTCTCTCTCTCTCTCTCTCTCTCTCTCTCTCTCTCTCTCTCTCTCTCCCTCTGGGTGTGTCTCTCTCACTCGCTCATTCCAGCTTCCTCCTACCTCTCTCCCCTTCTCTCTGTCGGTATGTCTACCCCCCCTCCCTCTGCCTCACTCTTATTCCCTACCCTTCGGCACATACACACGCTCTATCGCTCACTCTTTACACACAATCAAAAGAAAAAACAAAACTTCTGAAATATCTGTTTGAGAAAGAAAACACAACATCTTTGCAGCAGCCATAAGTACATCATAATATTATAATAACTGTGCACATTGTGAAGAGTGGTTTTTTTTTTTTCAAATGAGAATTTGATGTCTTCAGTGTATTTCCCTAATCTTTGATACAGCCTCTTACTCTCACTGAAAAAAATAAATAGAAGACAAACAAAATAGGGGTCCAGAGCAACATACTCGGAAACACCTGAACAGATGGGGACGAGGAGAGACCAGGGTAACACATTTAATTAATTAATCAAGTAAATTGAGATAAATAGCTTAATTATTTATTCATTTATTCATTTATTTATTTATTTATTTATTTAGAATGTCCAAGCAAAGAAAACCGTTGGCAAACCATGATCACCTATGCCTGTTTCAAAATCACAATGATGATGAGTTGCTCCTGAGGAAGCCCACAGGGCGAAACGTTGAGCTATTAAACAAATAAATTTAAACATTTTATATTGTTATTTTATTTTTGTCTAAAATTAAAACAAG